ACCAGAATGATGACCGTTAATTATTTCATCTACATAGTCGTGCAGACATACTCCCGCATTTATTCGCATTTTCACTATAAAATATCTCGAAATCAAGAGACAATTTTAACTTTATTGTTAAATCTGATACCGCAATTGGCCACGGATATCCACCTCATTCTTGGTAAATCAAATGCACGTTAAATAGATAGACGATAGTCAGACGGGTAAACGGACTGATAGTTGATGACCTAGCAAAGTCTAGTGTTGACAAATTAAGCTATTCATTTTATAGCATTTTGGGATTAAATATATGTTACCTAAACAAACGTGAGTAGTAGTAAATCAATTTTCATGCAACACACTTTGACTAAACACAAGATTTTCTCTTCCTCAAATAATTTCGCAACTGCTAATGTGTGTATTGTCCAGGATCAGGAGTTATGCGTACCAACTAAATGTCCACATGGACGATTGCGCTGTTGTTAGTAAAGAAAGAAACCACTGTTTATGGTAGGCGTATCACCCTAAAATACAAATTTCAGAGAATTTCGTACGACTAGACATCAGTGGGTTGTAGGCCTACTTTAAATGTTACACGTTATTCTACGTACGTACACGCTACTACTGTTGTTTTTCCTTTAAGGATTGGCATGTGAATTGTCCAATGCCATCAGTAAGAGCAGCGTTTCTCGTTCTGATAGAAGCAGAGATGAAGAAGAGGAAATCAAGGCGCTTACAGTCACAGTGACCATTCCAACCTTAAACGATTTAATTGATAGCTCAACCAGCAAACTAATTGCAGTTCTATCATTTACACGTCCATTATGACTGAAACACTTTAATACTACACCGAAAAACCTTGAGATCTGTTACGCTGAACACATAGAGCTCAATTCCAACAAAAAGTCCGTTTAGTTTGATCCTACTGTGCGTAACTCCATCTTCTTACCCCGATTTTTGGCTAGAAATCCTAGATCAGGTAATAAACGAAAAGTTGCAAGGGTTTTATAATTGGGATTTTTCTAAAAAGAAAGCTCAGGCAATCACAGCCTCCCGATTCCACCATATGTAACATGACATCGTAAGTGGTGGATAGGAGAGAAATTTGATACTCGACATTACCTATACCGAGTGGTCATGGTGAGATTGCGCAAACCGAGATGTCCGGAGCCAAACCAGTTTTTGACGAGTTGTGTGAATCAAGACATACTCTGCTTTAGATAATCAGGGAGTTGTCACTAGATGACCTGCTATTACATAAAGTACACTTCACTGATTGCCCGTCAAGCACATCCTCTCAGACGACATTAAGTCAAACTGTGTAGTGACAATTAGTTTGCCATCATCACAAGAAGCACCACGAGCGATGATTATAATAAATGCTCAGGGCAACTATCGCGTCATCCAACACCAATGTCTCTCTTCACCGGTGCATGACCCACTACCAAATGCATATGTGACAGTTGAGGTAGGTGGGACATCTGACTCAAGTTTAGCCGAATCTGTAACAGATCGTTGAAGCATCAGCGTCCTGCTAACTAGCATGCCTTCATGCATTTAATGTCAGAGTCTGACACTCACAGACAAGGCTCCTCTTTCTTCACATCCATTTTATCCTGCTCATAAACATCCTAAACTTTTCCAGTCACATGATTGACGGACAAACTTCTTGGCCATAGAGACTATCATGACTTCTCATCGACTTGGACCAAGTTTCGCATTGTCATCAGAACAAAGTAATGCTTTTACACACAACGACATTTGTTGACGTGATAAGCGATATCTAATATTTCACTCGTAACCTTTTAAAATCTCCTTCCAAGTGACAAAAATATGCTACGTAATCACTCCGTTCGTGATGTCATTAAATCCATTTATTTTCTGTGGTGTGCATTTACCTGTTTTAATCACGTCATTACCTAGGCGGCACATGATAATAAAGATATTACACCACACTTCCAGATTCCTCCTTTCATTACTGCTAAATTTGATGATGGAGCAGCAGCAGAAATGTGTTGATACCCTCAATGAAGATACATTATTCCACCGAAGTAGTTGAAATTAATTGGGTTAATTTTAGCAAGTGGCAATAAGCACTAACTGGCTTGATCACCCACCCAACTAACTTAGCAAAAATCCATCTGAAGGACGCCACTGTGGTCATTTCAACCGAATGATGGACCTACGAACCATGTCATTACCAGAGGGGTGATATGTGAATATGTTAATCCCTACCCACTGTTGCGGCACTCAAAGTTCTTCAAGTGGTGCAAGGGATCCATCTCATAATGCAATGGGGAATGCAATCCATACATATTCAAATCGCAAGATGACCACTAAAGCTCTACCGTCAACCAAAGGAAACCCAAGGAACCATTAGCTCTCATGGAAATGATGAGGTCTCTTCTCATCAACAAGGTAAGACTAGCTTCACAGAAGTACTTTAGAGTTTAACTAGAAAATCATTATAACAAAAACCGGAAGCAAACCTGTGGAAGCCTGACTGGTTGATGGTAAAAAATAGGAGTCAGCGTTGTTCATCAAGCCTCTGCACCTTCTAATTTGCAGTTTTGCGGAAAATACTCTGCTTTGGCTGCCGTGGTACATTTGCAATTGGATTTCAGCAATGCTTTTTACTCTCAGCTGCCTCTTCCTTACTTCGGCTAGGAGAAGACTCATGGTCACTCTCTGGGGCCAACGTTGCCACTACCAAGCGTCGCAGTGCTTGACCCCTTCGCCGATGATTTGA